GGGAGGGTTAGGGAGGGGGAAACAGCACAATGGGTGAGGGGGAAGAGAGAGGGGGTGAGAGAGGGAGTAGGAAGCAGAACCGGCCATCTTTGTCCGCCTCTGCAATCACCGGCGCCACACTCCAGCTGCTCGCTTCCTGCCTGCTCAACCCCTTGCTGCCACCACCTTGCTCGCTTCCTGCCTGCAGCCACTCACCACCACTCACCACCGCTCACAACCTCTCACCCCCACCCACCATGAAGCAGAACCGGCCATCTCTGTCCGCCTCTGCAATCACCGGCGCCACACTCCAGCTGCTCGCTTCCTGCCTGCTCAACCCCTTGCTGCCACCACCTTGCTCGCTTCCTGCCTGCAGCCACTCACCACCACTCACCACCGCTCACAACCTCTCACCCCCACCCACCATGAAGCAGAACCGCCCATCTCTGTCCGCCTCTGCAATCACCGGCGCCACACTCCAGCTGCTCGCTTCCTGCCTGCTCAACCCCTTGCTGTCTCTGCCGCCACTGCTGCTGCTGCGACCAGCGCTGATTCCTCTTGGACTTGTGCTGCTGATCGTATCCCAGCTGGCATCCTGAGAGCCGTCCATGTGAGACCCGTCGAAATCACCACCTCGGCTTAGCTCCACTCGCCGCCACGGCACAAAGGACGACTCGCCGCCCGCCTCCATCTCCACCCGCCCGCACAGCGCGTACCGGGCGGCACGGATGGGCGGCAGGGCAACGGCGGTTAGCGCTTCAGCTGTTGTTTCGCTACCACCGGTGGTGGTGGTTGTGGCAGCAGCAGAAGTGGCGGCAGCAGCAGTGGCGGTAGCAGCAGTGGCAGTAGCAGCAGTGGCAGTAGCAGGAGCAGGAGGGAGGGTGATGTTTGAAAGGGATGGGAAGACATAGAGGGGACGGACTGCTGTTATGGTGTGAGTGGTGGGGGGAGGAGAGGTAGGAGTAGGAGGAGGGGGAGGAGGAGAGAAGGATTTTGCAGAGGAGGGATGGTGCAGGGGTGCAGAGGAGAGGAGGGAGGCTGGGAGTGTGAAGGAGTAGTCACCCTGCAAAACGAGAAGGGGGTAAATGAGGAGAAGAGAGGGGCACATGAGGAGAAGGAAGGAGGGGTGAGGAGACGAGGGAGGTGGGGAGTGAGGAGGAGTAGTCACCCTCCAGAGAAGGGAAAAGGGTTGAGGAGAGGAGAGGGAGGCGAAGACGCGAGGAGGAAATGATACTGGCATGAGAGGTCAGGGGTGCAAGGAAACGGAATTGGGTGGTTGCAATCACAATAGGGTTACACAGCAACAACCCTAAAGCAACCGTAACACAGTATCACCTTGTGAAACTCATATCATGGTGACAATCACAGCATACCCTAGAGCCTTGCACAGATATCATGGTGACACTCACAGCATACCCTAGAGCCTTGCACAGATATCATGGTGACACTCACAGCATACCCTAGAGCCTTGCACAGATATCATGGTGACACTCACAGCATACCCTAGAGCCTTGCACAGATATCATGGTGACACTCACAGCATACCCTAGAGCCTTGCACAGATATCATGGTGACACTCACAGCATACCCTAGAGCCTTGCACAGATATCATGGTGACACTCACAGCATACCCTAGAGCCTTGCACAGATATCATGGTGACACTCACAGCATACCCTAGAGCCTTGCACAGATATCATGGTGACACTCACAGCATACCCTAGAGCCTTGCACAGATATCATGGTGACACTCACAGCATACCCTAGAGCCTTGCACAGATATCATGGTGACACTCACAGCATACCCTAGAGCCTTGCACAGATATCATGGCCGCTTATGCCGCAGCCACACTCATGCGAACCATCTTACAGCTCACTGTACCAGAGCAGAGCGTCTGTCACACCGCCACAGAGAGCCCATCCAGCATCACTGTTGCTCCCTCCACCCCGCGGCCCTCCCCGTCCTCCACTCCACCCACTTAAGTTCTAATAGGCTACAGCACCCCTAGCCACAGGTAGCACTAACATCCCACCAGAGCGTCAGCGACAGCCAAGGTGACTTTTGAGTCGACTCAAAAGCCAAGGCCATCCAGCAACACTGTCGCCCAGCATCCATCCTCTCCAACCCACGGCCCTCCCCATCTTCCATTACACCATAGCATCAAAGGCAGCACGTACAGCACCCCTAGGTGACTTTTGAGTCGACTCAAAAGTCACCTCCCCATCCTCCATTACACCATAGCGTCAAAGGCAGCACGTACAGCACCGCACCCCCAGCCAAAGGGAGCACTAGCACCAATAACTCACGGGAGAGTCATTCACAGCCACTGACGGGCCACCCAGCATCACTGCTGCTCCCTCTACCTCACGGTCTACTCTTCCCATCCTCCTCTCACTGTAAACACCACTGGTGGCACCAACAACTCACCTCAGCATCGGTCACAGCCACTGAAACACCATCCAGCATCACTGTCGCCCCCTCCACCCCACGGCCCTCCCCGTCCTCCACCCGACCACTGCCTGTCAACAGAGCAGTATCCAGCTGGAAAACGGTGGGGGGAAGAGGGGGAAAGGGCAAAGAGGGGAAAGACTTGAGCAGCAGTGGAGCCGTAGCTGGGCACATAGAAGAGTGCCCTTGCGTTCTTGAAGTCCCATTCCACCTGTACAGGCACTCACACAATCGGACTGCTGCGTGTGATTGAATTGACTGGAGAGAGACAGCAATGAGAGACAGCAAAGGGCGTACCTGGTCCTGAGCAGCAGTAGGAGGAGAGTAGCTGGCCACGTAGAAGAGTGCGCCTGCATCTTTGGAGCCCCACCCCACCTCCACGGGCACTCTAGCAAGAGAGAGGGAGGGAGAATGCATGCGCGTACCTGAGCAAGAGAAGGACAGCAAGAGAATGCATGCGCGTACCTGGTCCTGAACAGCAGGAGGAGAGTAGCTGGACACGTAGAAGAGTGCGCCTGCATCTCTGGAGCCCCACCCCACCTCCACGGGCACTCTAGCACTTGCACTGTTGCAATTGCTGTGATTGGATGACGCAGCAGAATCAGCGGGTGTTGAATTGAGAGTGCTTGTAGCGAGGGGCTGGATGGTCCAAAGAGGATGCGAGGAAGACAGATCATAAGCTCCTGTTGACGGCAGTGGGTGGGTGGGTGGGTGGGTGGGTGGGTAGGTGTGTAGGAGGCGGGTGGGTGGGTGGTCAAATAAAAACCAGAAAGGCCAGTGAAGCACCCCCTCTTTGCTACTCTAGAAACGCCCCATCCCCTTTCCCAAGCAAGCACTCACCCACTGGAAGGCCCGTGAAGCTGAAAGCACCACTGGCATCAGTGACAGCCGTTGCTGCCACCCGCTGCTCTTGTTGGTCTTGCTGCTGCTGCTGCTGTCCCTGTTGTGACACCTCCCTCTCTGCACCATCGTTGCCGCTGCTGCTGCTACTGCTGCTGCTGCTGCTACTGCTGCTGCTGCTGCTACTGCTGCTGCTGCTGCTACTGCTGCTACTGCTGCTACTGCTGCTACTGCTGCTACTGCTGCTACTGCTGCTACTGCTGCTACTGCTGCTACTGCTGCTGCTGCTTTCGATGGTCCCGTGAACGGATTGTAGGGTTACGAGGATACCAGCCGGCCCTATCAAAGGTCCTTCAGGTGGCTTAACTGCTCCTGTTGCTGCTGGTGAGTGGCTGAGTATGTGGCCTGAGAGGCCAAACCTGTTCCAGGAGAAAACAACAATGTTCCATTGCACTTTCAGGTGAAATCAACAAGCTAATAGTGTGTGTGTAAAAGCATACGCAGTCAAAAGTTTTCAAAAAAACTAGAAAAGAGCTATCGTAAAGACACGCACCCGTGAATGTGGAAATCCATGTCATTGCCAGCATTGCAGGAAACAGCATCGACCACCACCATCTGCATGCAAGCATGAAAGAGAGGATCAGACGAGGTGCGAGGATGAAATCAAGAGATGAGAGGGAATCGGGAGCGAGGGTTAAGTGAATTAAAGCCGAGGACAGTCAGAGGGAATCTGGTCACTCGCCAAATGGGATTGTGCTGATATCTGGCATGGGGATAAAACGGGGGAGAGGGGGAGAGGGCAGGGTGGGGGGGTGATTGAGTCCCATTTAGTGATTTGCGGACAGGCATATTGATCGATGCAATAGAGGAAGGAGTTGAGGAGATATGGGCGGGAAGTGAGGAGATGAAGGCAGGAACTGAGGAGAGAGGCGGGGGGAATGGTGGGGGAGGGGAGGGAATTAAGAAAATAGGGGCGGGAATAGAGGAGGTGATGGGAATTGAGGTAGATACTGGGACTGAATATTGATTAGGCAAGCGGGCAAGGAGCGAAAGTCACCTTAGGAGAGTCTACAGACCAGCCGGGGGGGGCACGTAGGGCGATGAGAAAGGACTCCTGAGAGGAAAGGGAAAGGGGAGGAAGAAAAAAAGGCGGGAGGAGGATGGCGGGGGAGACGGGGAAGGGCGAGGTGGGGGAAGAGGGGGGGAAAGGGGAGGGGAGGGGAAGAGGGGGGGGGTTTGCATCAAGAAGCAAGGTCATGGCAAAGAGATTACAGCGAAGTCAGCCAGAGCAAGACTACGGACTAACTGGGGGGAGGGAATGGCCACGTGATACAAGTGCTGTTTTGAGACGTCTCAAGATTACAACGAAGTCAGCCCGAGCGAGCCTACGGACTAACTGGGGGGAGGGAATGGCCACGTGATACAAGTGTTGTTTTGAGACGTCTCAAGATTACAACGAAGTCAGCCCGAGCGAGCCTACGGACTAACTGGGGGGAGGGAATGGCCACGTGATACAAGTGTTGTTTTGAGACGTCTCAAGATTACAACGAAGTCAGCCCGAGCGAGCCTACGGACTAACTGGGGGGAGGGAATGGCCACGTGATACAAGTGTTGTTTTGAGACGTCTCAAGATTACAACGAAGTCAGCCCGAGCGAGCCTACGGACTAACTGGGAGGAAGGAATGGGGGAGGAGGGGCCTGGGGGAAGTGGATGTAAGGGCGATGAGGAAGGACTCATGTGACGGGAAAATCAGGGGGGGAGGCGAAGACGAGAGCAGAGTAGAGGGAAGAGGGAAGGGGGGAGACGGGAGGAGACCCCTCAAAAGGGGTCACGGGGAAGTGGAGGGCGATGAGGAAGGACTCGTGGGAGGGGAAAATGAGGGGGGAAGGCGGAGACGAGAGCAGAGTAGAGGGAAGGGGGGAGACGGGAGGAGAGTGGCATGTGGGAGATGGAGGGCGGGAGGAGAGTGGCATGTGGGAGAGGGAGGGCGGGAGGAGAGTGGCATGTGGGAGAGGGAAGGTGGGGAGGGAGGAAGGGAGGGAGAGAGGAGGGGAGGGAGCAAAGGTAAACCGGGGGGACTAATGCAGATTGAGAGAAAAACGCACCTGGAGGGAAGGAGGCATGAGCAAGTAGTATCCATCCTCGTCACAGTGTGTCCTCTCATGAGCGTTTTGAGTCGACTCAAAACACATCTTATGCGAATTGAGAGAGCAAGGCGCACCTGGAGGGAAGGAGGCATGAGCAAGTAGTATCCATCCTCGTCACAGTGTGTCCTCTCATGCACGAAGCTGCCGTCATGGGACTGTAGCTCGACCTGTACAGCATAGAAAATTCATTGCAAAAAAACAAAGACAACCAAAATACATCTTGTTTTACATTTCAAGCATTATTCCTTAGAATGATAAGGAATTGCTCATGAGGACGTCGTCACCATAATTTCGCATTCAATAAGAACACACAAGCCATGATTGACCAATCACAAATGCAGCTGACACACCAAATACCATGGTGCAGGTGTAATTAACAAGAAATTTCCATGACAGATGTGTAAATTAGTCAACACATTACCATGATATGGGTGTAGTCAATTGCCTCGGTGTTGCTCGCTTGGGGCAGTAGGGATGTCAGACGAGAACTTGGCTGCATTATAGTCACATCGAAGTGAGTTCACAATCACAAAATTGTCAAACATGAGTCACAGCCCATCATAATCACATGCGCACAACCACCTGAACGCCAGTGTCAAATCCTGGCATTCATTGTCATGTGCCAATCTTCATCATCTGTCATACATTGCTGAGTGTCATACATTGCTATGTGTCATACATTGCCATGTGTCATACATTGCCATGTGTCATTCAATGCAATCTGTCATTTATTGCCATGTCCCTCATTCATTGCCATGTGTGTTGCCATGTGCCATGCATTGCCGTGCGTCATTCATATCCATTTGTCATTCATTGTCATACGTCCTTCATAGCCATGTGTCATTCATTGCCATGTGTCAATCATTGCCATGTGCCACGCTTTGTTATGTGCCACACAATGTCATGGATGGATCACACACAATGGTATGCATGCTGTCGTGTCATGACCTGTGTCAGGTACCATGCCATGTGTGAGATGTCATGTGTGACCCGACAGCATGCGCCTCACCACACACCACGTGATCCGCCTCACCACACACCCCGTAATGCGCCACCTCACCACACGATGCACCACACCAGACGACAGCATGCGCCTCACCACACGACAGTACGCGCCTCACACACGACAGCACGCGCCTCACACACGACAGCACGCGCCTCACACACGACAGCACGCGCCTCACACACGACAGTACGCGCCTCACACACGACAGCATACGCCTCACCTTGACGAACCCGCTGCAGCCCACCAGCACAGCCTCATCCCTCGCGACAACTCTCATCGCCGCCCCCGTTATAAGCACAGTCACGCATAGCGACCACAGAGCACGGCGCTGGTGACAACACAGCGTCAGCTGAAGGCGAAGCATGACTGGTGGGGAAAGCCAGTCAACGGTGGTTGATGTAGCCTTCGCGATCCCTTTACAGCCGACTCAATATAGCATGCGGAAGCGGTGCTCTGATGAGGCAACCTTGCCGATATCTGAGCTACTTCCTCAAAGGAAATGCGCCAACGAAATGTCAGGTGCTTCAGACGACCGTGAGCGACTCGTCACGGTTCAATGTCACGTAGTATGGACAACCGAATCCCGTGAGCTACTTTTCAAGATTGCAAAGAACAGCATATAACTTTCAAGAAGACGGTTCTTTGCTTTGTGTACGGAAACCGAACTCCAAAAGGATTCATGGCAAATATTTCAGCGTGTTTGTTCATACATTATGAAAGTGTCTGATGTGTCATTAGCTATCACGTTATGAAAAGCTACAAAACGGGGCTCATATGCATCATATGTCTGGGATAAAATGCAGGCAGAATTATGCCTGGCACTAAAAGTTCATTGCCACAACCAGCGGGAAAACGGAATATGAAAACGGGTGCCTTCGTTTTTCTGACGTGTTTTACTTAGCTGCATCATCAATTCAGAATTGCCTTTCTGTTTGGAACGATGCAATTGTGTACAATCAAGCACATAATGAATCGCTGTTGCTACAAAAAAAGGATGGCATACAAGAAATGGTGTTTGGCACCAAGTAAAGATATGTTTGGGGATGTGGTGGTTTAGCGCTAGAAGCTTGTCAAGTGAAGCGTCTATGGTAGTACGATCCTCCTGCGAATGCTGCACCGCTGGAGCCCAGCTTAGTCCTGCCAAAATTGAAGGTAATTTGTTAACTCTTATGATGACACGTCGCCAGTATGGAGGTAACTTTCCCAAAACTGAGTTAACGCACCTTTGACTGGATGTTGTTGGACAGCCAGTCGAGACCCTCATAGAGACCTTCTCCTGAGGTAGCGCAAGTACTCTGGATGTACCTGAAATGGACGAAGGTGGTATGACAGTCAAGGCAAGAACTCAATACGACATCTCGACGTGGATCAAACAGAATGTCGACCGGATTTTCACGCTTATGATAGTTTAGAACCAAATCGTCTACTTAAAGGGTCACTTACCATTGACGCTGGCGCAATGAATGAAGACCAAGCTTATCGGTAATCTCTGCAGCGTTCATGGCATTCGGAAGATCCTGCTTGTTAGCAAACACAAGCAGCACCGCGTCCCGCAATTCGTCCTGGAAAAAGGAGGCGGAGAAAGAGTCAGCAAACAAACCAGGTCACCAGCACACTCGAAGAATTTCAATAAGAGACAAAAGATGATGCTGACCTCGTTGAGCATTCTGTGCAACTCATCCCTGGCTTCCATCACACGATCCCTATCGTTGCTGTCGACAACGAAAATCAGACCTTGTGTGTTCTGGAAGTAATGCCTCCAAAGGGGACGGATCTGTACAACGAGATACACGGCGAAATTAGTCCAATCACGAAACGACCTAACAATTGAAGACCTAGTTGCAATTTGCTTTTCTTACCTTGTCCTGACCTCCCACATCCCACACAGTGAAGCTGATGTTCTTGTATTCCACAGTTTCGACATTGAATCCTGGATTGGAATGAAGATAGGGTCGCTTAGCAAACATATAGGTGTCTTAAGCGAGTCTGACAGCAGATCGACGAAGGACTGCAATCATACCAATGGTTGGAATGGTGGTCACGATCTCTCCCAGCTTCAGCTTGTACAGAATGGTCGTTTTACCAGCGGCATCTAGACCAACCATAAGAATACGCATGTCCCGTTTCCCAAAAAATCTCGCGAAGAGCTTCCCAAAGGACAATCCCATGGTGAACTGCTTTTAGGAACTAGAGCTAGAGTGGTAATGAAAATCAATAAGATGGGAGTAATCTGAGATTCCTAACGAAAGGCCTGCTTGAGAGAATGAGCTATCAGTGGCCTTTTTGGTTCTGGAGAGCTATCAAATGATCCCTTTTTCCCTACCAACCAGCTCTCGCACGGTGTTCTCAAGGCCAGACTTTCCCCCCAATGGCACGTCGCATGCCTCCCGCAAGATTTCGCAATCCGTCGCATCGGGCTGACCAAACCAACTTTCCTCGCACGGTGGAGGCCGTCTGACGCGCAACGACTGGAATTCCCCCGCGCGAATCTGCTGCACCGTTCAGGACGCTGACAGGGCTCCTTCGTTGTGGGCGCGTAGGGCACGGTGGAGTCACCGAGATCCCACCGTTAGGTTGATAATATCGAGTGCCACGTAAAAATTATGAGGTTGACTAACCAGTTCTGTATACAAGAATGATATATGATTATAAGGGAGATATTATTTGTTTGCCTGATTTAATTCCTTCGCGACCTGGATCATGGGCCTCAATGCTTATTGATTTAATGGAAATGATATATTAAATAAACTTTCCTATATGTTATTCTCGCTTTTATTGTCGCTTGGTCGGAGACCTATATCAGCATCAGCAACATAGCAACAATCATTTAGCAGCACCAATACACTCGAGTGTATCCGCATTTTGATTGATCTTTAAGTGTTCGCCCTTTGCCAAGTGGGTTAGGCGTATGTGGGGCAGGGCGGAAACATAGAAAGGCAGAAAAATCCAGGGGAGGTGGTGGGGGAACCGACAAGCGCCTTGTTACCCTAGCCAGGCTGTTCGCGAACCACTTGAAATTGAGTTGTCGGGGGCACTGGTAGAACCAACGCTAGAGATGATTCGTGTGTGATCGGTCATCGCGCAGTGTGTGTGGCACTCTGTACATCCAGCCCTACACCAATCACAGCGTTCCAAGCCAACATCGTATATCTAGCGAAAGACATCTATTCCGAGTCCCCTTCGCAAATCGCTGGCATGAACATTGTTTTCTCGTCCCATGGGCTCTATCCGTGACGAGTCTGTTTACAACGAGGATTTTGACCTTTCATACTCCAGCTCTCACCTTTCCCTCCCTTGGCATAGAAATTCTCGCCTTCACCAAACCAACCATCCAGCTCTCCCAGTTTCCTTCTATTATTCAATTGTTCCGACCGAATTGGCGTGCGTGGATGTGTTGTTGATGGTATTTCTGTCATTAGCTGATTCTGTTCAGTCTCTCCCTTGTTATCAGAGGTGCTTTCAGCAGTTTCACGCGACGCCAACGATCGGCTATGAAAAAACGGTACTAGAAAAGGAGCCCGGTGCTTTTAGCTATCGGTCGGATGCAGAAATTCTCTGACGTAGTTATCTCGGATGCAGCAACTCTCGGATGTAGCAAGCACCAGAGCCGATGGCCTACCCGAGGTTGACTCGCACGGAACGGAGGCGGGTGGCACTTCTTGTCGTTTTGCTCTGTCTTGCCGCCTGCACGTCTGCTTGGCGTTTCTCTGATCAGATCTGTATCTTTTGCACCTCGAAACGAGCTGGCACTGTAGTCGCGAACAGCAGAAACGAGGCGACCTTTATCGGGGACAGCGCGGGCCCTGTTGCTTCTGAAGATTCGAGCAGCAACAGGGATAGCGCGAATGACGGCGGCAGAAGCAGAGAGGAAGGGACCCGGTCACAGTCCGAAGGCTCAGGAGCGGCTGCGAATGATGATGTACGTCGTCCCCCTCCTCCGCATCCTCCTCCTTCCTGCGACTTTTGAGTTCCCTTCTCCATGATTATTAATGTGGTACTCACAAGTCACTTGGTTTCAGGAGCGGCACCCAATGATGATGTGCGTCGTCCCCCTCCTCCACATCCTCCCACTTCATGCAACTTTTGAGTAGACTTAAAGGCCGCGTACTCAAAAGTCACTTGGGTTCGGGAGGAGCATTCAATGATGATGTGCGTCGTCGCGCTTCTTCGCCACCCCTTACCCGCTCCGCTCTCCCACGCTTTCCGCTGTCCCCCCCGCCCCCCCTCCTCCTCCCCTCCGCTCCCCATTCTCTCTTCTCCCCTCCTCCTCCCCCCTTTCTCCGATCCCCCCTCCGCTCCCCGTTTTCTGATCCCCCTTCCTCTGCTCCCCCCTCCGGCGCTCCTCTTCCTTCGCTCCCCCCTCCTCCGCTCCCCATTCTCCCCCCTCTCATCGCCTCGCATTCTCCGCTTACCCCTCCCTCCCCTCCTTAGCAGTGTGTCTGGTGGGGGGCGCGGGACTTAGGCCACAGGCCCCACCATCACACACCACCTGCTGCGCGCCCTGCTGCCCTCCCTGCCGCCTTCACTTCATCTCCCCTTCCCTCTCTTCTCTCCACTCCTTTCCACCCTTCCCCAGCCCTCCCTCCCCTCCTTAGCAGTGTGTCTGGTGGGGGGCGCGGGACTTAGACGCCACAGGCCCCACCATCACACACCACCTGCTGCCCGCCCTGCTGCCCTCCCTGCCGCCTTCACTTCATCTCCCCTTCCCTCTCTTCTCTCCACTCCTTTCCACCCTTCCCCAGCCCTCCCTCCCCGCCCTAGCAGTGTGTCTGGTGGGGGGCGCGCGGGACTTAGACGCCACAGGCCCCACCATCACACACCACCTGCTGCCCTCCCTGCTGCCATTCGACCTCTTCATCCATGCACCGTTGGATGAAAACGCCGCGAAGATCTCAGCCCTTGCTCGTGCACATGCCATGCACAGGGAGCGTGCTACAGCCAGAAGCAGCAGCAGCAGCAGCAGCAGCAGCAGCAGCAGCAGCAGCAGCAGCAGCAGCAGCAGCAGCAGCAGCAGCAGCAGCGGCGGCGGCGGCGGCGGCAGCAGCAGCAGCGCGCACAACCAGGATGGCAGCAGCAGAAGTGACTATAACGAGCAGCAGGGAGCAGCCGGGAGCATGGCTGGTGCTATAAAGGGGGTGAGGGTGTTTCCTGTTGTGCCTGTAGACGCATCACTCTATCCCGGGTCTATTATCATTCTCCCCTGGGGATCTCCGAATGGGGTTCAGGGGATTTTGCAGTATTTCAGGTTGATTGAGGGCTGTTTGCCGCTCATAGAACGTGAGGAAAAGACGAGCCGTGCCGGCCAGCCGTACCGGTGGGTGCTGCGCACGCGGCTTGATGGTTATTGGTCGGCGCCGGCACCCCCGCTTTCGTCTTTTATTGGCTGGGCGGGGAAGGGGGTGGAGAGGAGGGAAGGGGGAGGAGGAGGAGGAGGGGCGGAAGGAAAAGAGGCCGAAAGCATGGGGGAGAGGGCGGCATATGTTGTCCCATATGGGTCGAACTGGGGCGGTGTGAATGACCGGTTTGGATTTGGGAGGAGGGAGGAGAGTGTGGTGGCGCTGTCTCGACTGGCGATGTTGGATGAAGTCAACAGATACAGGCAGAGGATTGGCGTCACATGGTGAGTGTGCTTGGTTATATAGTAACTATGTAACACCAAGAGATGGATGAACTCAACAGATACAGGCAGAGGATTGGCGTCAAGCGGTAGTAGTTTTTGTGTGTTTCGATGTGATTCTAATTGATGCAGTTATTATGTGACTGTAAGGGGGCAGTGGGGTGGGGATGGGAGGAGAGTGTGGTGGCGCTGTCTCGACTGGCGATGTTGGATGAAGTCAACAGATACAGGCAAAAAAGCCGACCACCCACTTCCTCCCTTCCCTGCTCCCGCCTTCCCTCATCCCCATTCCCATCCCTCCCTCCCTGCCAGGCAGATGAACAGCGAGATCACATTCAAGCTGCATCTGTCGAGGGACATCACCATGCCACCCTGCCCTTCTGTGTGCTCTCCCGGAGGGCCTCCCTGACACCTGCAGCAGCATCCGAGCCGCCTGTCATTCCTTGACGCCTTTCCACCCCCCCTGTCCATTCCCATCCCTCCCTCCCTGGCAGGCAGATGAACAGCGAGATAACATTCAAGCTGCAGCTCAAGTCGCGGGATATATCAGTGCAACCAGCCAGCCTGCCCTTCTGCGTGCTCTCCCGCCGGGCCTTCCCCGACAGCTGCAGCAGCATCACAGTGTCCATCAACGCGTCTGTGCCTCTGAATGGGGCAAAGTGTCAGCCCTGCCACCCCTGTGCCGAGGGCAAGGAGGTGAGATGGAAGAGAGGGTTAGGTAGGGTGGTGCCAGTAACCGGGTTGTCGCCTGCAGCAGCATCACTGTCTCCATCAACGCGTCTGTACCTCTGAACGGAGCCAAGTGTCAACCGTGCCACCCGTGTGCCCAGGGAAAAGAGGTGAGATGGAAGGGTGGTAACCAGACACACAAGCGCCTGCAGCAGCATCACAGTGTGCCAGCCCTGCCATCACAATTAGCGCGGCAAAGTGTCAGGCGTGCCACCCTTGTGCGCAGGAAAAAGAGGTGAGACGGGGCAAAGTGTCAGGCGTGCCACCCTTGTGCGCAGGAAAAAGAGGTGAGGCGGGGCAAAGTGTCAGGCGTGCCCCCTTTCTCCTTCCCCAACCCCCTCCGCTCCTCCTCTTGCCCGCACCTCCCTTTTCCTCACGTTCACTTTACCTCAATGCTTTCTCATCTCACTACAAATCCTCACAGGGGTGGCTTTAAGAGTCGCCTCAGAGGCCCACCTGTTCTTTAATCGACCTCCTCGTTCTCCCACCTCTCAACAAATCAGGTTGAAGCCATTCTAAATGCCACGTCACCATCATCTGATAAGTGGCTGGGTCCCGTCCAATCAGGCGTCGCCTTCTGTCCGGGTGGGAAAGGGAGAGGGAAGGGACGGTCTGGCGCGGAGGGATCGTGGCCGTCGGATTGGGAGGAGATCTACCAACGAACGGCGGGAGATGAGCTGGGTGCACGGCAAAGAAGGATCAGAAGGAGAGTGTCTGAGATTGACACCTGCACTCGATTTTTGGAAAAGGTGATGATTTTATATAAGAATGTGATGAAAAAAGTTGGAAATTGAGATGGAGGTGAGTATAGAAATTGTGGTCACGGTTTTTTTTTTTTTTTTTTTTTTTTCAATTTATTAAATTACTGTATCCCAATGTGTGCTCACCACTCTCGTTCCTCTGAGCCTGCTTGCTTGCTGCTCTGCCTTCCACTCCAAACTCCTCTGACCTCTCCCCAACCCTCTCCACCCTGCATCACCCCTCTCCATCGCAGATGAGAGCGACGGTATCCAACTGGGACGCCCCCTCCCCACTCGCCCTCTGTGTCCGCTCTGCCCTCGCTGCTCCCAGCTTTCTTGCTTGCTTGTTACTCTGCCTTCCACCCCAACCGTTCCCCACCCCTCTGTCCACCTCCCATCACCCCTCCACACCCCTTGCCACCGCAGATGAAAGCAACGGTATCCAACTGGGACGCCCCCTCCCCACTCGCCCTCTGTGTCCGCTCTGCCCTCGCTGCTCCCAGCTTTCTTGCTTGCTTGTTACTCTGCCTTCCACCCCAACCGTTCCCCACCCCTCTGTCCACCTCCCATCACCCCTCCACACCCCTTGCCACCGCAGATGAAAGCAACGGTATCTAACTGGGACGCCCCCTCGCCTCTCGCCCTCTGCGTGCGCTCTGCCCTCGGTGCTCCCAGTGTGCTCGGCGCCCCACACGACTCCTTCCCCATCTTCTCCCCTCTGCTCTCCCCTGAAGGGTAAGAACACGGCTCAACCAGGTGTATGTGTGTGTGTGTATGTGTGTGTGTATGTGTGTGTGTGTGTGTATGTGTGTGTGTGTGTGTGTGTCTGTGTATGTGTGTGTGTGTGTGTGTGTGTGTGTCTGTGTATGTGTGTGTGTGTGTGTGTGTGTGCGCGTGTGCGTGTGCGTGTGCGTGTGCGTGTGCGTGTGCGTGTGCGTGTGCGTGTGTGTGTGTGTGTGTGTTAGTTTTACCCCACCCCCATTCAGGTAACCCTCTCGTTTTCTCTTCTGCTCTCTCCTTCTTGTCAAGCCCCTCCTCTTTTGCCCTCTGCGCTTACATGACTCTTTCCCTCCCTCTCGTCTCCCACATGACCCGCTCTTTCCCCCAAGGGACATTCTCCCTTTACTCCCCTCCCCATCGCATCACTCGCATCTTTCACTTGGAATACACAGCACTGTAAGCGGCAGTGGCAGCACTTGAAAATCGAGTGTTGCTCCCCCCCCCCCCCACCCCCCCCTTTCTCCGCTCCCCATTTGCATCACTCGCATCTTTCACTTGGAATACACGGCACGGCAAGCAGGAAAGCGGCACTGGCAGCACGTGCAAATCGAGTGTTGCTCTCCCCCCTCTCCCCCCGCCCTCCCCCCCCCTTTCTCCGCTCCCCATTTGCATCACTCGCATCTTTCACTTGGAATACACGGCACGGCAAGCAGGAAAGCGGCACTGGCAGCACGTGCAAATCGAGTGTTGCTCTCCCCCCTCTCCCCCCGCCGTCCCCCCCCCTTTCTCCGCTCCCCATTTGCATCACTCGCATCTTTCACTTGGAATACACGGCACGGCAAGCAGGAAAGCGGCACTGGCAGCACGTGCAAATCGAGTGTTGCTCTCCTCCCTCTCCCCCCGCCCTCCCCCCCCCTTTCTCCGCTCCCCATTTGCATCACTCGCATCTTTCACTTGGAATACACGGCACGGCAAGCAGGAAAGCGGCACTGGCAGCACGTGCAAATCGAGTGTTGCTCTCCTCCCTCTCCCCCCGCCCTCCCCCCCCCTTTCTCCGCTCCCCATTTGCATCACTCGCATCTTTCACTTGGAATACACGGCACGGCAAGCAGGAAAGCGGCACTGGCAGCACGTGCAAATCGAGTGTTGCTCTCCCCCCTCTCCCCCCCGCCCTCCCCCCCCCTTTCTCCGCTCCCCATTTGCATCACTCGCATCTTTCACTTGGAATACACGGCACGGCAAGCAGGAGCAGAACCTGCCGCTTCTCGAGAGTGTTTCGCTCGCTTGATCGACTCCCAAACGCTCTTCCCCTTCGATTTTCCTCCTTCTCCCGCCCCTGTCGCCTCACTCTCATTCTTGGAATATTCCTCCTCGCTGCAAGCAGGAGCAGAACCTGCTGCTTCTTGAGAGTGTGACTTTTGAGTCGACTCAAAAGGCATCTTGCACTTGGAATACACAGCACGCCAAGCAGGAGGAGCAGAACCTGCTGCTTCTTGAGAGTGTGACTTTTGAGTCGACTCAAAAGGCATCTTGCACTTGGAATACACAGCACGCCAAGCAGGAGGAGCAGAACCTGCTGCTTCTTGAGAGTGTGACTTTTGAGTCGACTCAAAAGGCATCTTTCACTTGGAATACACAGCACGCCAAGCAGGAGGAGCAGAACCTGCTGCTTCTTGAGAGTGTGACTTTTGAGTCGACTCAAAAGGCATCTTTCACTTGGAATACACAGCACGCCAAGCAGGAGGAGCAGAACCTGCTGCTTCTTGGGAGTGTGACTTTTGAGTCGACTCAAAAGGCATCTTTCACTTGGAATACACAGCACGCCAAGCAGGAGGAGCAGAACCTGCTGCTTCTTGAGAGTGTGACTTTTGAGTCGACTCAAAAGGCATCTTTCACTTGGAATACACAGCACGCCAAGCAGGAGGAGCAGAACCTGCTGCTTCTTGAGAGTGTGACTTTTGAGTCGACTCAAAAGGCATCTTGCACTTGGAATACACAGCACGCCAAGCAGGAGGAGCAGAACCTGCTGCTTCTTGAGAGTGTGACTTTTGAGTCGACTCAAAAGGCATCTTTCACTTGGAATACACAGCACGCCAAGCAGGAGGAGCAGAACCTGCTGCTTCTTGAGAGTGTGACTTTTGAGTCGACTCAAAAGGCATCTTTCACTTGGAATACACAGCACGCCAAGCAGGAGGAGCAGAACCTGCTGCTTCTTGAGAGTGTGACTTTTGAGTCGACTCAAAAGGCATCTTTCACTTGGAATACACAGCACGCCAAGCAGGAGGAGCAGAACCTGCTGCTTCTTGAGAGTGTGACTTTTGAGTCGACTCAAAAGGCATCTTGCACTTGGAATACACAGCACGCCAAGCAGGAGGAGCAGAACCTGCTGCTTCTTGAGAGTGTGACTTTTGAGTCGACTCAAAAGGCATCTTGCACTTGGAATACACAGCACGCCAAGCAGGAGGAGCAGAACCTGCTGCTTCTTGAGAGTGTGACTTTTGAGTCGACTCAAAAGGCATCTTTCACTTGGAATACACAGCACGCCAAGCAGGAGGAGCAGAACCTGCTGCTTCTTGAGAGTGTGACTTTTGAGTCGACTCAAAAGGCATCTTTCACTTGGAATACACAGCACGCCAAGCAGGAGGAGCAGAACCTGCTGCTTCTTGAGAGTGTGACTTTTGAGTCGACTCAAAAGGCATCTTGCACTTGGAATACACAGCACGCCAAGCAGGAGGAGCAGAACCTGCTGCTTCTTGAGAGTGTGACTTTTGAGTCGACTCAAAAGGCATCTTGCACTTGGAATACACAGCACGCCAAGCAGGAGGAGCAGAACCTGCTGCTTCTTGAGAGTGTGACTTTTGAGTCGACTCAAAAGGCATCTTTCACTTGGAATACACAGCACGCCAAGCAGGAGGAGCAGAACCTGCTGCTTCTTGAGAGTGTGACTTTTGAGTCGACTCAAAAGGCATCTTTCACTTGGAATACACAGCACGCCAAGCAGGAGGAGCAGAACCTGCTGCTTCTTGAGAGTGTGACTTTTGAGTCGACTCAAAAGGCATCTTTCACTTGGAATACACAGCACGCCAAGCAGGAGGAGCAGAACCTGCTGCTTCTTGAGAGTGTGACTTTTGAGTCGACTCAAAAGGCATCTTGCACTTGGAATACACAGCACGCCAAGCAGGAGGAGCAGAACCTGCTGCTTCTTGAGAGTGTGACTTTTGAGTCGACTCAAAAGGCATCTTGCACTTGGAATACACAGCACGCCAAGCAGGAGGAGCAGAACCTGCTGCTTCTTGAGAGTGTGACTTTTGAGTCGACTCAAAAGGCATCTTTCACTTGGAATACACAGCACGCCAAGCAGGAGGAGCAGAACCTGCTGCTTCTTGAGAGTGTGACTTTTGAGTCGACTCAAAAGGCATCTTTCACTTGGAATACACAGCACGCCAAGCAGGAGGAGCAGAACCTGCTGCTTCTTGAGAGTGTGACTTTTGAGTCGACTCAAAAGGCATCTTTCACTTGGAATACACAGCACGCCAAGCAGGAGGAGCAGAACCTGCTGCTTCTTGAGAGTGTGACTTTTGAGTCGACTCAAAAGGCATCTTTCACTTGGAATACACAGCACGCCAAGCAGGAGGAGCAGAACCTGCTGCTTCTTGAGAGTGTGACTTTTGAGTCGACTCAGAAGGCATCTTGCACTTGGAATACACAGCACGCCAAGCAGGAGGAGCAGAACCTGCTGCTTCTTGAGAGTGTGACTTTTGAGTCGACTCAAAAGGCATCTTTCACTTGGAATACACAGCACGCCAAGCAGGAGGAGCAGAACCTGCTGCTTCTCGAGAGTGCTTCGTTCACTCAATTGACTCTTAATCAGCATTTCTCCCCTCCCTTTCCCCCACCCAACCTCCCCTCCCCTCCCCCTTGCAGCCGCATCCTTCACTTGGAATATTCGTCATTGCAGGCAGGAGCAGCAGCAGTGGCAGCACTGGCAAATCGAATGTTGCTCTCTCCCCCTCTCTTCTCCCCTCCCCCTCTCTTCTCCCCTCCCCCTTGCAGCCGCATCCTTCACTTGGAGTATTCGTCATTGCAGGCAGGAGCACCAGCAGTGGCAGCACTGGCAAATCGAATGTTGCTCTCTCCCCCTCTTCTCTCCCCTCCCCCTTGCAGCCGCGTCCTTCACTTGGAGTATTCGTCATTGCAGGCAGGAGCAGCCGCAGGGAAGGACGCAGCAGGAGCAGCAGCAGGAGGAGGAGGAGCAGAGGGGGGAGCGATGGGAGCGGAGGGAGAGCAACCTCAGGAAGGGCTTTCGTGGGAGGAGGCAGTGGAGAGGGCACAGGCAGGGGTGCGGGTGACCAGAACGTCATTTGCTGACCTGCAATTGGCTGCTGACCGGCAGGAGATTCTCCCTGTGTTGAAGGTGAGCGTCTTGCAGTGAAAGGGAAAACAGTGGGGGAGAGAAAGCACAAGAAGGGCAGTCGTGGGAGGAGGGTGCAGTGGAGAGGGCACAGCGAGGGGTGCGGGTGACTAGAGCATCGTTTTCCGGCCTGCAATTGGCTGCTGACCGGCAGGAGATTATTCCTGTATTGAAGGTGATTGTGGTGAAGGTGATTGTGGTGAAGGTGATTGTGGTGAAGGTGATTGTGGTGAAGGTGATTGTGGTGAAGGTGAGTGTGGTGAAGGTGAGTGTGGTGAAGGTGAGTGTGGTGAAGGTGAGTGTGGTGAAGGTGAGTGTGGTGAAGATCTTCTTTCCTCATGCCCCCTCCTTATCTCCTTCCCCCCCCATCTCCCTCCCCTCCTTCCCACCCCACCAATCCCCTCCCCAGGTCGCTGTGCGCAACACGGCAGCACATCCAGCTGCTCCGTTCGCCCTGTCCCACCCCACTGCACCCCACTCCACCCCACTCCACCCCACTCCACCCCACCCTCCCCCCCAATCCTCGCATCAGGTTACTGACCACGTGCCCACACAGCCCATCGACTTGCTCTGCTCGCTCGTCTCCTTCTCCCTCCCTGCTTCTTGAATTTCTCCTCCTCCCTTCCCCCTTGCCCTCCCCTTCCCTCCCCCTCCCCCTCCCCATGTTGCAGTGCACGGGCCAACACAGCCAATCAACCTGCTCAGCTTGCTCCACCCCACCCCATCCCATCCCATCCCACCCCACCCCACCCCACCCCACCCCACCCCACCCCAACCACCCTCCCAATCCCCTCCCCAGGTCACAGTGCACGGGCCAACACAGCCCAACGAACTACTCAGCTCACTCGCCTCCTTCTCCCTCCCTACGCTCTACCTCTTCCTCCTAAGAATTCCCCCTTGCCATGCCTGTCCCCCTCCCCCCCCCCTTCCCTTACCCCCCCACTTCCCCAGGTCACAGTGCACGGGCCAACACAGCCCATCGAACTCCTCAGCTCACTCGCCTCCTTCTCCCTGCCTCCGCTCTGCCTCCTCCTGCTAAGAGCCCCCCCTTGCTCCCCTGAGAGTATCCGGCGCTGGACAGGGGGCGAACCTGAAACCTTGGGAATGCCGCCCTGTGCGAAGCTGCTGATTGGCTGGGCGGGTAATGCTGGTTTGCAGGCGGAGAGATGTGAAGTGGAACCGAATTTGAGGTGTACGTTTTATTCTCCTAAGCATTGTGCGGCGTTGTTAAGAAAGAAGAAACTAAGATTGTGAGTGCGATATTGATTTATCAAGTCTGAACCTTTTGAGTGATGAAAATGGCATCCACAAAGAAAATAAGTACGGTAGTTCACAAGAGTGTTCTACGTAATTCTCTTGAGAAACTCCTCGCTTGCTTCATTGTGCGGTATTGTCAGTTTACTTGGTCACCACACCAGCCTCGTTATTACTTCATTCTGTGCTCTCTTTTCACAACTCGTTAGAGTATTGTAAACGCTAGCTTTTCCAAATTAATTACAGAAACGTACCATGCTTGAAACAGCTTGAACTCACATAACCGAGATCAGTGTAGAGCAAAACCGAGACTCGCCGACAACCTATTTACTGGAAGCGACCTCACGCCGTTTCGTGGAGTATCTTCCAGCCTTTACGAGGGAGATTTATTTCGAGGTGATGCGGGTTACAAGGATTCCGCCTGTCGCCAACCAAGATCTGGCTGCGTGTTCGCCATCGTGGAGTCTGGCTCCATGCCTCCTCCCCATCCCCGCGTGCTCTGGTTTGACAAAAGATCCATGTTGCGGCTGTTGGAAGCGAGCCAATGGGGCTTCACATTTAGCGCAGATGCTATTGGACGACGAAAGTTATCTGGCGCCAGCGTGACTCTTCGCTAGGATAACTGACGGCTGCAAGGGATGGCTTGAGGTAACCTTGCGCTGTCCCTCCCACCAGCTTGAATATGCCAGCCTCTAGTCGCCAGCCTCACTAAACCTTTACGCCATTCCTCTCCTCCACTCCATTCCTAGACGATAGACGCTACCAGAACAACCCGAGCAACGCCAGTTGCCGGAATCGAAGGAAGTTTCAGTTCCTATGCTGGTACAATCGCCAATGGTCGACTCCACGAGTCATAACACAGCGCAACACTCATTTCATTACTACCCTCTCCAGATTCTTTCACTTCAGTCGGTTACACTACCACCATCACAATTAGTACCGCAGGTGATGTTAGTAAGAATCGAGGCTGAAACACTAGCAGCGCGACTCAGCTGACGCGACTCCATGGCCGCGAGAGTTATCCGCGCACCAGAGAGTTACTTCGAGGCACAGGAAAGGTACGGAGTCCCTTCCTCCTCGGCAATTCACTATCAGCGTTCCACGAATTACCGTGACGGCGATTACTACCCCGCCGCGCATCCCGCCGCGAATCCCGTAGATGCGCAGCGTAGCTCGGCGGCTCAACCTCGTTTCATCGCGCCGCCTCTCGACGCCAGCTGCTTCCAATCTCCGTCGACATTCGATTGGTCCCTGTCAACTTTTGACGGATCTCCGTCAGCCCTTGACGATTGTTCGTTCGAAGCCGAGGATTCAGCCATCGAGGCATTCCAAAACACATCTCCGCATTCGCTGTTACCAAGTTACGCCAGTATCGGCAGCCACGACTTCGCCGAGTGCCACGCTGACGGGTTCGCGGATCCCACGCGGCCCCGCTATTCCTCCGCGGCGTCTTGGAGCGGCGGAAGCTTAAACGCGGCTTCGCTTCCGCAGAATCCTTCCGGCAACCGCCGCGCCTTCCGCGCCTCCCGCGTTTCCTGCGACTCACGCATCTCTTGCCCCTCCCCACGCGGAGCTTGCGCCGTTCGCGGCCCCTCCGCTGGCGATTGTGCGGCGGTAACGACACACTTCGGCGACACTGTCGCACGGCGACGAGACGGTTGCGTCGCCGCCCCCAGCCCAACCCCGGCGATTTCCGCGGCGGCGTGCGGGCGCGGGATGATCGTGCAAGCGGCGGGCGCGCGGCGACGCCCCGCCATCGGCATCCGAAAGCTCCGCGAGCTGGAAGCGGCGAAGCAGAGAACCGCCAACCAAGCGGCGTCCGCGGAGGCGCAGGCGCAGGTGCAGGAGCATGCGGAGACGGCGGCGGAAACAAATGCGGAGGCTGTGGCGCAGACGGAGGCGGTGTCGGAGGCAAATGCGGGGACGGCGGCAGAGGAGGTGCCGCAGCTGCGCGCGACGCGCACCGTCCGACGGCCGTTACAAGCGGCGAGGAGCAACTCCACGCCGCCGGAAGTGACGGAAATGGCGGTGATGGCGGCGATCGGGAGGGGGAGGACGCCCGGCGGCGCGGAATCAGAGCGCGCGGGCGACGCCCCGGGGGAGCCTGAAGGGGTCGGGGGAACCGCGACGATGATGACGACAACGACGTGCATTGGTCACGCGGAAAGCCGTTTCCGGACGAACCGGGAAGAGCGAGCCGCGATTCTCGGGCTCCATTCCACGTCAGCGCCTCCCGAGTTGGGCGAGCACGATGATCGCCGCGATTCCCGGCTCGGCGCATCGAACGGCCGCGGAGTCCCCGCGATGTTTCCTCCTCCTGTCGCACGCCGTCCGTCGCTCGAGTCGCTCGAGTCGCCACACCAATCGAGCAGCTCGCGCTCTCCGAGTCAGTCGCCGTCGGTTAGACATGCTCCCTCGCTTCAGTCACGCTCTAGTCTCCCTCCGTTACAGTCACACTTGCACCGCCATCGCAATTCCCAGTCGAGGTCCCGCTCTCCGTCTCCGTCGCCATCCCCGTTACAGTCTAATCGCGCGCGGTCCCCGTTACGAGCACCACTACACCGCCATTCGTCGCAGCCTTTCGCCGACCCCCTCGCGAATTCGCCATCGCAGCGGTTTTCCGAGGACCTGTTACAGCCCGTCCCTGCACGCACCACGAGCGACTACAGTGAAAAATGCAGAGCCGACGCGCAACCAACGAGGAGCCTCCACGCGACGCGGAAAGCTAGACCACTAGGGTTTCCGAGGAGTGGGAGCGTGGATGGTGGTGCTCGGCGAAATTCGGCGATTAGCGAAGACTCGATTTCAAAACCCGATGGGCAGAGCGCCTTCGGTTTGTACCTGTTGAAGACTGATTCGTTTAAAGATCGGAAGCCTAGATCGCACCAATATGCAGTGTCTACTCACCAGCACATGCGACGTGGCAGCCTCCCAACTGCAGCTTCGTCTCGTATGGAGTCTACACAAGCACGGCTCTACAGTACCTCGTCTACAACGTCTACAGTACATCATACTGAAACATGTAAAAGTTTCAACTCCTCATCACCATCTCAATCTCCATCTTCTACCAAGCCTCCACCGTTGCTCTCCCGCTGCTCGAGTCCCCGCCGAACCTCCCTCCTAAAGCTGCCCTCTGACAACCTCGATGTGGTGGTAACCAGCACCCATTACAACCGTTACATGCAACACGGCGCTCTGAGGCAGAAATCCAGGCTCGGCCTCCGAACCACCTCGGTAGACCTGGGCGACATCGCTGCAGGCTCGGCACACGCCGGACTTGCGGCTCAACAGGCTCGGAATAGCATCAGGTCCCACCAGGGGGAGGTGGATGTGGGGGAGCTGCAGCACGGGCAGGAGCAGGGTAATTTACCCCACAAGTCGTTTCAGAGGAGGGCTAGACCGAACAGCTTGTCTGTTTGGCCCTCTGCCTACACCCCACTCTCTCCCTATGAGGGTGCAACTGTAGCAAGGACGGCTGTAGCACCAGCGGCTGTAGCAGCTGCACCTGCTGCTGACCAGCAGCCTTCCCAGCAGCACTGCTACAAGCATCACTCACCCCAGCGTCAGCAGCAGCAGCAGCAACAGCAGCAGCAGCAGCAGCAACAACAGCATCGGCATCACTCGCAGCATCAGCAGCAGCAGCATTCCCGCTCTCCCCCCCACCAGTCCCACTCCCACTCCCCCCCACACCAGTCCCATTCCCACTCCCCCCCCCAGCAGTCTCATCCCCTTTCTCCTCCCCACGAGACTATTCGCTCCCGCCGTGCGCTCCCCTCCCTGGCTGTGCACCCTCTCTTCACCACCCGGGCATCTGCAGCTTCCATCCTCCGTACAAGCAGCCTCGCTACCAACACAACAGCTTCTACAGTAGAGCATTATATATCCCCGCCTCTCCTGTTTCCGCCCCCGGGTACCACCTCCCCTGGTATCACCTCCCTGCATACGACCTTGCCAGGTGCCACCTCAACAGGTACTGCCTCCCCTGCTACCACCTCCCCTTGCGCTGCTTCTGCTGGGGTTTCCCCTGCAAGGGGCATTTCTCCCTGCCGCCTGCCCAAGTCGATCCTCACCGTCCGTCAAGAGGGGGCGATTGGACGCACCAGATCGCTTGGCCGGCTTGTCAGGTTCAACAAGGTAGCTGAAGTGCACGTGATATTGTAGGTGTTCATTTATTCTTTTATGTAGCTTCTGTACAGTTAAATTTGCAATTTGCCATTTATGTTTAGTCTGTAGTACCCTTGTACATGAACCTCTTATCCCATACCTATACAGTCCAGCTTTATTTTAAACAGCACAATCTGATTGATCCGCACATGGCAGTGTAGAGTATCTATGATGTAATTTATTCTTATTTTATTGAACACTGGGCTCTCTTACAGTACCCACCACTGCCTGCAGAGTTAAAGTAACCCCAACAGTGTTTCTGTAACATGTAACACATAATACACAGAACTAGTGTTAGTTCAGCAACAAGACGTTAATTTTGCCGATCAGACAGCTTTAGTCTATGTTTATCCTGTGCCAGGCCTCCCACAATTGTTGTTTATGTTAACATTTCCTTGCCGTTCCACTCGTGTCTGTCTTCAAGGGTCAAGTATCCAAGGGTGACCTACAGCAGAGGGGGGGTAGGGGGGCAGAGGAGGGGGCCAGGCAGAGAGTGTTAGCTTTGCCAATCAGGAGGCTACAGTCAGTTACACAATGCCATTCCACACGTGTCTGTCTTCAAGGGTCAAGTATCCAAGGGTGACCTACAGCAGAGGGGGGGCAGAGAGGGGGGCAGAGAGGGGGGCCGGGAAGAAAGGGTCAACGTCGCTAATGGGAAGATGTGGAGCAGTCAGTGCCTTCATGCCACGCCATGCCTTCATGAGCAGTCAGTGCCTTCATGCCACGCCATGCCTTCATGAGCAGTCAGTGCCTTCATGCCACGCCATGCCTTCATGCCACGCCATGCCTTCATGCCATGCCATGCCTTCATGCCATGCCATGCCTTCACGCGCCCAAACCCCCTCATCTCACTCAGAATCTCCTCGGCTGTGATCCGCTCATCCGGATCCACTGCCAGCATCCATGACACCAAGTCCTTGGCTACTAGCGCTTGGCTTAGCTACTAGCTAGCAACACCCAACCCCCCCTCCCACTCCACTCACTGAGAATCTCCTCTGCTGTGATCCGCTCATCCGGATCAACCGTCAGCATCCTAGACACCAAGTCCTTGGCAGCTAGTTAGCTAGCAACATCCATCCCATACCCCCACCACAACTCCCCCCCCTCCCACTCCACTCACTGAGAATCTCCTCTGCTGTGATCCTCTCATCGGGAACAACCATGAGCATCCATGACACCAAGTCCTCCTTCGCAGCTAGCGCTTGGCAAGCAGCCACCAACACCCCCCCTAACTTTCCTCCTAACCCAACCCCCCCCCCTCCCCTCCCACCCACTCACTGAGAATCTCCTCGGATGTGATCCGCTCATCGGGGTCAACCGTCAGCATCCATGACACCATCTCTTTGGCAGGCAGCTAGCAACAGAGCCCTCCCTACTCCTGCCTTCCCCCACACATACCCCCACCAACAATCCCCCAACATCCCTCCCACCCACTCACTGAGAATCTCCTCTGCTGTGATCCGCTCATCGGGATCAACGGTCAGCATCCTAGACACCAAGTCCTTGGCAGCTAGCGCTTGGCAAGCAGCCACCAACACCCCCTCTTACTTTCCTCCTAGCCCAACCCCCCCGCTCCACTCACTCAGAATCTCCTCGGCTGTGATGCGCTCATCCGGATCAACGGTCAGCATTCTAGACACCAGATCCTTGGCAGCTAGCGACACAATCGGCCATGGCGCCGCCCGGAAATCCACTCTGCCGTCCAGAATCGCCTCGAAGACGGCCTCTTTGGACGGCGCGCGGAAGGGGAGGAATCCCGAGAGCAGCAGGTGCAGTAACACGCCGAGGCTCCAGATATCGGTGGGGCAGGAGTAGGTCTGGGCGAGCATTTCAGGGGAGAGGAAAGAGGCCGTTCCCACAATCTCAGAGCAGCTCGTGCCTGCAATCCGGGGTTCAAAGCGGTGAAAAGGGGTGGAAAGGGGTGTAAAGGGAGGGATTCTAAGAGCAGGAGCAGCAGGTGCAGCAGCACGCCCAGGCTCCAGATATCGGTGGGGCAGGAGTAGGTTTGGGCGAGCATGTCAGGGGAGAGGAAAGAGGCCGTTCCCACTATCTCACTGCATGTTGTTCCTGTGTTGGGTTAGGGTTGCGTGGGGCGAGAGTGAAGGACTGAGGATTGAGAAGCAGCCGAAGCTCTGAACCTGTGGTTGGGTGGAAGGCTAGAGAACGAGGGTTGGGGAGGGACAGAAGGCTGAGAGAGAGCAGGAGTGTGGTGCATTGGGGTGTGGTAGGAAAGGTTTACCTCGGATCTACCTCCCCCGAGTACACCCAAATACACACATTTTATGGAAGAGGTCGTCATGGCACCAACCAAGCAGGATTGACTCTTCTGAGATCCTACCTCCCCTGGTTACACCCTCCTCTGGCGCACCAACCAACCCACCTGGTTGGAAGAAGGTCAAGATGCCAAAGTCACATATTTTCACATCCCCAGGCAGGCACGCCAAGTTTCTACCCCAGGTCACAAGATGTACCTCCCCTGCATACGCCTTCCTCTCCAGCACGATTGCCTCTCCACAACCCACCTGGCTGAAAGAAGGTGGAAATTCCAAAGTCGCAGATCTTCACGTCCCCAGGTACGCCTCCCCCAGAAACGTCCAAACGATCCCCGAGCAGGATGTTATCGGGCTTCACGTCGCGGTGAATGATGCCGTTGGAGTGGCACTGCAGCAGCGCCTCCGCTGCTGCCGCCACCACCGCTGCTGCCTGGGGCTCGTTGAACGGCCCTTGCTCCCTGATTGCCTGCTGTAGTGTCCCTCCTTGGCACAGCTCCATCACCAGATAGACCGTCTGGGTTGGGATTGGGGAGGGGAGTAGTAGAGGAGAGGAGAGGAGAGGAGAGGAGGGAGGGGAAGCATGAATAGTGCTCGTTGAACGGCCCTTGCTCCCTGATAGCTTGTTGCAGTGTGCCCCCCTGACACAGCTCCATCACCAGATATACCGTCTGGTAGCGGAGGGCGATGGGAGGGGAGGGTGGATTCATAAAGCATGAGCGGGCTGCGGGTGTCATACCAAGAAGCCACTTCCGCTGACTGCTCGCTGCAGTGTGCCCCCCTGACACACCTCCATCACCAGATACACCGTCCGGTAGGTAGCGGGAAGTGGGCAGCGGAAGGGGGGAGAAGGGTGAGGGGCATTCGGGGGCCACAGTCTCATACTTGTTATAAGCAGACTCGTTTACCTCTGGCTCCTCCACCGTCTCTATGAGCTGCACGATGTGCCGGTGCCCTCTCAGCGCCTCTCACCCAGCCCACACACAGCAGTATTATACTCGTTATAAGCAGAACAAACCACCACGGGCTCCTCCATCGTCTCTATCAGCTGCCGGTGGCCCCTCCCAGCAATATACTCGTTATAAGCAGACTCGTTACAGTTGATAAACGAGTTCACTAACCTCTGGCTCCTCCACCGTCTCTATGAGCTGCACGATGTGCCGGTGCCCTCTCAGCGCCTCCAGGGCCGCCACCTCGTTCTGCACGTCCTCTGCATCCTCGGGAGTCTGGTGGTGTGAGGGGACAGCAAGCAAGGGGTTACTTTATCAGAGTGCATACAGCAACGCAACGAGGGAGTATGGCCCTCTCAGCGCCTCCAGAGCCGCCACCTCGTTCTGCACGTCCTCTGCATCCTCTGGGGTCTGGTGGGGGGGTGTTAGAGGGGAGGCGGGGAGGAAAGGCAGGCAAGGGGCAGTGCATGATGGTACAACAAACCAAACCAGTCGGGGAGAGAGGCACTCTCAACGCCTCCAGCGCCGCCACCTCGTTCTGCACGTCCTCTGCATCCTCGGGGGTCTGGCGTTCAAGGGAAGAGCACACAAGGGCAGTGCATTGCATTCTCATCAGCCGGAGAGAGACCCTCTCAGCGCCTCCAGAGCTGCCACCTCGTTCTGCACGTCCTCCGCGTCCTCTGGGGTCTGCCGAGTGGGACCGCGGGTGGCTGGGGTGGTAGAGGAGAAGGCAAGGGGCACTGGGTTCACTCACAGCAGCACAGCCAGCGCTGCCTCCTCATTCTGCACGTCCTCTGCATCCTCTGGGGTCTGGTGTGGGGGTGTTTGGGATGAGGGTGTTTGGGAGAGTAAAGGAAAAGCCAAGCGGCACTGCATTCTAATACAATGCACAGACTGGGGCGAGTGGGCACATCCGCACAGCCAGAGGTGCCACACCACCATAGAACCGCACTGCACCACACCGCACCCCACCGTCCACTACATACCTTCACATTCGCCTTGTTGATCACTTTACATGCAAATTGCTCCCCGCTGTCCCCCTTGCCACGCACACCACCACGCCTCCAAAGTACCTCTTCCCCAGCACCTCCCCTGTCAGCTAAACACATAACACCGCACTGCACCACACTGCACCACACTGCACCCCACCGTCCACTCCACTACATACCTTCACATTCTCCTTGTTGATCACTTTACATGCGAAATGCTCCCCGCTTTTTCTCTCCACGCACACCACCACGTCTCCGAAATACCCCTTCCCCAGCACCTCCCCTGTCAGCTCAAACCGGGCGGCAAAGCTCTCCAACGGCCGGCCAATGATATTGCGCCACCTGGACCACCCAGCTAGCGACGCACCGGGCGGCGGCGGCGTCAGCACCGCCGCCCCTGCCGCATCCCCGCCCCTTCCCCCCCCTGGTGACACGTGGCCTCTCGTGAGTGGTAAGCTCTGGGAGTTGGATCGTGTATGGCCAATAGGAGAACGCCCAGTGGCAAATGACAAGGATCGGCCTGACATTGCCGCTCCTCCAGGAGCAGCAGAACTGCCACCTGCACCGCTCACAACTCCTCCTAACCCAGGAGAACCAGCTGCAGCAGGACTCCCACTGCTGTAGGAGGCGGTTCTTGTGTGGCCCGGGGCAGAGGGATGGGTTTGTTGCCTGCTATGCTGCTGCTGCTGCTGCTGCTGCTGCTGATGCTGTTGCTGATGGTGCTGATTGTGGTGCTGCGTGTGTGGGGAATAGATTTTGCCCTGTTGCTGCTGTGGCAGCATTTTCTGCTGCTGATGGTGGTGCTGCTGCTCCTGCTGGTGTTGGTGGTGGTGCTGCTGCTGCTGGTGGTAGTTGCTTGGAGGAGAGAGCTGGGAGGGATGTTTGGGGGAGGAGGACACTCGATGCTGCTGCTGCTGCAGGTGCTGGGAGGGGGATCTCAAGTTCTGGTTATGATTAGAAGGAGATCGCGCCACTCCCTGCTGCTGCTGTCTCTGTTGGGAGGGCGAGGTCTGTGAGTGAGGGAAGGAGTGGTGAGACGATTGTTGCGGGGAGGACACAGCAGGCGAGTTTTGGTGGGAATATCCGCTGGGTGGTTGTTGAGGGGAGTAGCTAGCAGACCGATGGTGGGGAGAGGAGGAGTATTGAGAAGGATGGCTGGCAGTAGCGTGTCTTGATGGGGTGGTGTTGTGGCTACTATGGTGGTAACCACCTATATCATCATCGTAATTATCCTCAGCAGCAGCATAAGCATCTTGGTGGTAACCGTCCCGCTGGTAACCGTCTTCTTGGTAACTGTCCTGCGGGTAACCGTCCTGGTGGTTACCATCTTGGTGGTAACCATCCTGAGCACCTATATAAGCATCCTCGTTACTCTGTCTACTGTGAACTGCATGATTGGCATGCCCATCCTCACCATAAACATCCTCACTATTTCCATGCAACTGATCCCCGTCGTAGCCTTCATGCACATCCCCATCATATGCCCCATCAACACCCCCATGCTCCCCAGGATAATCACCACCACTATAAGCACCACCATCACCATACTCCTCTTCGTTATAATGCCCCTGATGGCCAGCTGCCACGTCATCAGGATGCGCATGAGGATCTTGTGCCAGCTCAGCAGTGACGTCATTGTGGTAACCAGAATCTTCGCCACGTCTGTAACCATAACCCCCCCTCCCCGGTGGGTCAACCTCGTACGCGCCCTGCCCCTCATCCTCCTCTTCTGCTTCCTCCTCCTGCTCCTCCTCCCTCACTCTCTCCATACCCATCTCCTCTCCGCCTCTCCCCATCTCCCTCACTCCATCCTCTATAACCTTCAACTCCTCCTCCCCATACCCATCATCATACTCACACCCGTGCCTATCTCGACCCATTTCCCGCTCGTTATAGTCACCCTCCACACTGTCTCTCTCAACATAGTCACTCTCCCTCTCTCCACTACCCTCGCTAATGTACCCTTCCCCACCCTCACCAACCCTCCCCTCTCCTCTGTCCTCCTCCCTTTCCCCTCCTCGCACTTCCTCCCTCCACTCCTCCCTCCTCTCCCTTCCACTCCCTCCCCCAGGATCTCTGACCACTTTCCGCCCATCCCCCCAATCCCCCCTCTCGCCATCCCCCCTCCCTCCATAACCCCTCCCCCCATCCCCTCTTCCCCCAACCCCTCTTCCCACAACCCCCCTTCCATCGTTTCCCCTACCTCCATCCCCTCTTCCCCCATTCCCTCTCTCCCAATCATCTCGCGACCGCCGTTCCTCCTCCTCATCCGCCTCCTCGTATCTGCCCCTCTCCCTGTCCCATCCCTTCTCCCCTTCCGTCTCCCTCCCCCTCTCCCTCTCCCTCTCCCTCTCCCTCTCCCCAACTCTCCCCCCATCTCTCTCCCTATCCCGCCCAGCCCCCCTCGGGTCATACCCATCGTCATCACCCCCCCTCCTCCTCCTACCATCATAATCATCATCTCTCCTCCTATCGTCATAATCATCATCTCTCCTCCTCCTGTCCCCATCATCAGCATCATCATCTCTCCTCCTCCTCCTGCCCCCATCATCATACTCATCACCCCTCCTCCTCCTGCCCCCATCATAGTCATCACACGAAGACCCAGATCTCGAGTCATCATCACACCCTCCTCTACCCCTCTCAACCTCATCATACCCATTCCTTCTCAGTCCGCTGCTTCCCGCCCTTCCGCCTCCTCTCCCCCCACCCCTCCCCTTCCTATCGGGGGAGGGGCTCCGACTATAGTCATCATACCCCTGACTCCCCCGCCCGTCTTCGTCTCTGTAATGCTGACGCGGCGCTGACGTGGCGCCTCCCCCGAGCGGGCGCGCGGGGGAGCGGCTAGGGCTGTTGTCCCCCGAATGCCCCAGCCCGCGCGGGGCAAGGATTCGCTGCCGCGGATCCTCCCCCCTCCGCGCGCCCACACCTCCGCCTGGCGGCGCAAAGCTGCCCCTCGCGGGCATTGGCGCGGAGTTGAGCGCGCGCCTATCTTCCGAAAACGCTCGCCGCAAGTGCAGGTCCCCGCGCGGGCCAGCAGCCATTCCGCCCACGCTCCCCCGCCCGCCTCCGCCCCCGCCTCCGCTGCTGCCCTCCCCCGCGTACCCATACGCGCCCGCGTGTCCGGGGCTGTAGTTTCCCCCCACGCCCCCGACCGGCCCCATCCCCCCCACTCCCAGGTTAACCCGGTCGTTCTTTTTCATCGCACTTAGTGACCGCGTAAGGCGGCGGTCCGGCGGCCGGTTTAGCAGCATCTTAACTTTCTCCGCTGCTTGCTCCGTCCGCGATAGAACCTTCGCTAGGTCTTTATTCCCACCCGGTCCGCCTGGCATTCCTGGCCTCCTCCCTACAGAGTCGTAGGGAGAACCTGTTCCTAATGCCCCTCCTGCTCCTCCTGCTCCTGACGGTCTGTACATCACTCCAGGGCCCTCTACCGAACGCGATCTAAGAACGCTCCCTGATTGGCCCATTTCGCGGCACGATTGCGACCGCTTGAACGCGCCGCTGTCCCCCTTGCCGACCCACTCCGGCACGTGCTGCGACGAAAACACCCGCGTCGCGCATTTCCGCAAATCCTGCGGCGCCGGCGGCTTCCCGTGCGGAGGCGGACCGTGCGCGTCCCCCCGCCTCGGCGGAAGCCCTTTTTTCCCCATAGGCGGAATTTCGAGTCCGCCGACTTCCTCGAAAGGAGAGGCGGCCGGCGGGGGAGCGGTGATTGGCGCACCTTCCGACTCCGATTTCGTAAACCATGCCATGACCTTCGTCTTAGACTTAACCATTTCCTGCTCCATATCAGCCAACTCCTCCGCCGTTAACGTCACGTCACCGGCAACTCTCTGACTGACGGACCGGTTCAACCGGCCGTGCGGGGGCGCGGGTTGCTGGCGCGCGGCGGGAGCGGCGGGAGCGGCGGAATTGAAGTTTTTGAAGTCCATCGATTGGGAGGATACTCCGATGGATCTGGAACGGCGGAGATCGGTGCCGCTGCCGACGCTCTGTCTGCGCGGGTCCAACCGCTTCGACATCGTCGTTAGTTCGAAAAATGCGGACGGGATTAGCTAGTGGACGTCAGTCGACGTACGGGTGATTGAAACCCTAGCAGTGAGAAGTAGAGAATTTTGAAGAGACTAATAAAAATATAGCGTGCTCGCATATTTAGCAATGCATGTGACAGAGAACAACGGTATAGACGAGGGTGTCATCAGGTGCCAGTTGCGAAGCTGTCTTTACTGAAACGTCAGACTACATAGTTCCTACGAACGCATATAGCAGGCCAGCTGCAACGCATGTGCCGAGCTACAATCTTGCCGTGAATATCCAAACAAATTCTAAACTGTCGAAAATCGCCATTTGGTTCCTAACATGCCGACAAAGTGAGGGCAGCTGAATACAAAAAAGCCATGCGAGACTCACACAGAAGCCATTCGATACGACCTAGTACATTGTCGTAACGAGTATATCCCATCCTATGTTGTTCCTATCCCACCTCGGCTTTATCTCCAACCTAGGGACTTCAAGTCACTTGGCGCATAGAAGGTGGGGAACAGCGGAAGGCAACCCCAGAGTCTCCAAACCAAAAGCAGGGAGCCCAAAGCACGATATCGAGGGAGGTTCCGAGCCAAATCCCTGCCCAAACCTGGCTCGGGAAAGCAGGTGTATTCTCAGGCGAGCGGGAAAAGCCGCCACATGAGAAGATCCTCTGCTCACGTTACTCGGGCTGTGTTTCGCGAAAGAATTTGGTTGCGTAATTCGTCAACGAGATCTGACGGAACACGAGGAATTACCACTTGCCAAAAAATGCACGACCTCTTCTGTGGTGGTGCCATCAAGCTCGGAAAGTGGTGGCTGGGGGCAGGCGTGGTATGCTGGTTTGGTTGGGTGCGTCAATACCCAGGGAACATAGGCTTGGCCTCAGGTTACCCAGGTCAGGATTCCTAGGCGAAAGGCTTCGCACGAACCGGCTTCAGATTCCTAGGGAAACGGCCAAAGGCTCCAACATGTCTCCTGTCCGATTGCCGTAGTTGATAGTGGGCGGGCGGGTATCCTCTATTTGAGCCTTATAACAGATTGAAAATGTTTTGACTTCATATGCTCACTATGTTCCTTCTCATGATATGTGCCATCTTCACCATAGCTAAGTGGAGTATCTCTACTGTTGGAAATATAAAGCATAAGAAAATATATATGCTGTTAGGTTGTAGTTTAATCCTCTATATAAGCCTCTAGGCCCTACAATAATTGTACAATTATTGTAGGGGCTCCATTATTGGAGTCTAGAGGTTTGGGGGTAGAATTATTGGTACTCTATTGTTGAAGCTGCCATTATTGGAGGTAAAATTATTGGTGGGGATGACTAGACTTTGGCAGGGTAGCTGCATGGATAAATACTATGCTGTGTGCTTTTGTTGGAATAACCGAAAGGTTATTATAAACACTCCCAAAGGTTCTCCACTCCCGCGTCACTCCATAACGAAGTGCACGCCTGTACCAGTACCGCAATGGCTCATATAGAGCACGCGGAAGTTCGAGGGTCACCCGAAGGTCAACAGTCGAAGACAGTCAACGGTCGTGACCCTTGACTGCCAGGTAACCGCACGAGGCAGTTGCGAAGTGCAACATGGTAACTGCCTAGAATGGCAATAGTCGTGGGTTACTGTAGCAATGCAATTCAGTTAATAAGTGAATGTACCCCTCAGAGTACATACTAGCTAGGAATGCTATTTATACCCTTGTACTTCTATCTTATAATCATCTTGTTCTCTTTCAAATTAATCAACAAGGTCATTACTGAGACTTCACAGTTCTCTTTTACACTTGGCAACTTTATCCTATCCACTTCGATCCTTCAGCTATATCAACAGCTTTCATTATCAATCCAATCCATTGTTCTGAACCCATTCAGTTGCAAGGTTCTCTTGCTATTCTATTTCACAATCAAGGCTTCCGCTACGCCGGCACTATGCCTTTCTAGCATCTACCACCATGCGCCTTGACCTCCCATAGAGAAGCTGATCGTGGCTAGCAGGGTTGACGTTTCATTTTAGGCCTCCCTGATTCCGGAGAAATTTTTCCCCCTCTATTATGGGTGCACATTTTCCAGAAAAGCAGTACCCTGATTGCTCAGGGTTGTAAAGTAGTTAACTCTGATTGTTCAGGGTTGAGAACTGAACATCAGAGTAGTAACACGCGCTTTGTTACCGAGGAAAAAATCCCCACGCTGCGACTGTAGTTAGTCACCCTCAGAGGCGTGCATCCTGGGCGAGTGTACCGACCGAACGGGCGAGTCACACCCGTTCGAGTCAAAGATTTCCGCTGTCAGAGCCTATTTCGACCAATCCCAGCAAAGTATATCTGACAGTGCAGATTCGCGCGATCTCGATGGTAGGTGTATCAGAACGAAGTTTCGAAGAAACTTCGTCGCGATAAAGCGGGAGGGGGGGGGGGGGGATTACGCACATGTGGGGGGATCACTGCGATCAATCCAAGGCGGGGTCATCGGAAGGAAACTTCCGAGAAACGTCTCGATAAGTCAGGGTCCACAGAGTCGATACTCTGTTAAGTCAGGGTCCACTAACAGCCTAGTCTATTACACTGTACTCGAAATCAGGGATAGCTAAACTATTACTCTGATTGGATCAGGGTTGAAAATTCAATAACTCTGAAATTTCAGTCTCCACGAAGTGGAAAGCCTGAAATCACCCTGAAATCAGCCCTGGTGGCCATTTTTATAGTAAGGGATTTAAGTTTATTTTTCCCTGAAAACCAGATGCATGGATGGATCGCATTTTGGCATCTTATTTGGATCACTGTCTCGTTGACGTACGTTCCAGAGTGTAGCAAATTGTTACGATAAGGAAAAAGGGGTTGCATTCCTGTACGTAACAAGGCACAGTCATAATCGAGTATGAATGTGAACGATCAAGACTATGCCGGGTCCCGTCAGGCGAGCAACCGAGAATTTTGCTCAAATCCGCGGAAGCGCGGATCATTTTATTTTCGCCACGTGGCAAGCCTTCGATCGCGCGAACCGCGATCTGTTTTATTGTTCCCACAAAGTTCAAGAGAAACTTAGTTAAGTTTTGTACCGCGCTGCCCGCGGGCAAAAATAAAACCCATTCGGGCATGGCATGCGTTAGGGAGGCATCAACCCTAAACACCTTGCCTCTATGTGTTTAGGGTTGATGCATCCCTAACGCATGTTTTTCCTATAGGGGTTTTATTTTTGTCCGCGGGCAGAGCAGTACATGTGATTCACTAAGCCTAACTATATTTCTCTTAAAGCTGCGATCTACATACTTCGAGCGGGGGGGTCTGGTTTATCACTTGAAAACCAGGTGACCAGGTTTTTCACTCGGCCCCTTAGCCTGCAAATAGAACGGTTGAGGGGGGTGGAGAGAGGGGGGTGGGGGTCCCTTTCCCGATATCGAACTCTAAACACATAGAGGCAAGGTGTTTAGGGATGCATCAAGTGGTTTCCGCCCTTCCGCGGACTCTTCTCCCAACCCACGAAAATGGGTTGGATTCGCGTGTTTGCTTGACTTCATCGCTCCTGTGTTTCAGAAACGAGTTGAATTCGCTTCCCAATCAGGCTGCGTGAAAGGGTGTGCATCGACAATACCCCCAAAAACGCAACTTAGTATGTAGACCGCAGCTTTAAAAATTGTGGGAACAATAAATCAGATCGCGGTTCCCACGACCGAAGGCATGCCACGTGGCGAAAATATAACGAACCGCGTTTTCAAAAGATTGAGCAAAACTCTCCGAGCAACCCCAATCGTTGGTTTGTAACCGGTCGACACCAAAATTTCCGACAAGTCGTTTTTTGGGCAGGTGAAAACGGACAGGCGACCGAAAAACAGAAACAAAAAATCCCGCACTGTAACTGACTACGCTTCCGTAGTTATCCTTCGTTCCTTCGCCAGTCACCACCTGTGCTTCCAGAGCAGCTGTAAGGGATTTGCGAAATCGCGAATTGTCAACCTGTGGTGTCTGTCCTTCGTCGACGCTGGTTGATCGTTTCTTCTGACCCTGTTTGATATTTCTGCTGACTTTGTGCTACAGTGTTCAGCGTTGCACGACAAGCGGGAACGACACGAGGGTCGTCGTGTCAGCCAGAGCTGCTCGGAAAAACTTGGGATGGGACACGCTGCATACCTCCTGGACACCTGACAGTACTAACGCCTAACCCTGTACAACCGTTCTGGTTAATGCAAACGCCGAACTGAAACGATCATTTCTCAGGCGCTTGTTGAGATATCCTGCCAGCATGTTGTATTCCCAAGGTGTTTCTGCCAATCAGTCGTCATTACTGTCACAGGTAGGACAGACTAGAGTCCAGCTGGAACTCCCTGACTGGTTTATCATGATTCTTGGTCTGTCTGACCCGTGAGATCGCGGGTGAGACAGACCTAGAACAGTCTAGGGACATCGCGTCTTTCCCAGCTGGAACTCCCTTACTGGTTTTCCTTGCATGGACAATACCTAGGGTCTTTTCTGGTCTAGACCAGCACTTTGAACGAATTCTGAACGCGTCCTGGTTGCGCAGCTTTCCGGTCGCTGCTTGGCGATAGCCACTCCAGAATTATCATGGCGTCTAGGAATCGTACAGGTAACGGTATACCAGGCCAGGCGGGCACGGAAGTCGATTGCGCGACGACTGTGCGACCCGATCCTCCGTTCGTTCGGTGGATTAAGGAGCATCACGCTGCCCCGTTAACCCGCTGCGACGCCGACGAAAACGACGAAAGCCACCACGACGACTTTGGCGACGACTTTAGCGACGACTTCGGCGACGGAGACGACGATGGCGAAAGCGACGCCGAAAACGACGGCGAGTCGGACGACTCGTACGATATCGACGAGTACCACCTCAGAGAGCGGTTTGGAAGGCCGTATGACTCAACAGAAGACTTGTTTCGAGACAGAGAAAGGGATG